CTTAGGAATTTTCCAGTTGCTGAGCAGATGAGAACACTGAATTCCAAAGAGATTCAGTCATAGCTCCTCCTTGGTCTCACCCATAGACTCTCTCTCAAGATGTGTGGAGAGTGTCGGGGTGGGGAATGGGTGTGTAGGCTAGAGGTTTTTGTCAGATGTCTTCCTCAGTAGCTTCTGAACCTTCTGTTTTGAGCTAGTGTCTCTCAGTAAACCTAGATATTTGTGATTTGTCCCCAGTCCACCTTCCTCCACACCCTCGCCCTGTGCTGGGTTACCGGTATACCAGCTGACTTAGATTTTTACCTGGATGCTGGTGATCTAAGCTCAGGGCCCCATGCTTTCATAGTAATCATTTTACTCACTGACCCCTATTCCCAGCCTTCACTTAGATATTATGTCACTAACCAGTTTCATTTGATTGTCCATCCACCCACCAAGTTACCCTTTTCCTTTAGCTGGCTTATTGCTAAGTATATACATGAATTTCCTCTTTCATAAATTACAGCTAACTATGCCACTAAACCCATTTCACCCTCTGTTTATTAACATGTCATAGGTATGATCTGAGTCCAAAGGGCACCAACTGAGGTTTGTGTGTCTGAGAACAAAGAACTGAACCAAGGGATATGTGGACAATGATAAAAATAGACTCTTTATGAAAGAGAAAGGTACCTTTAATGGGTAGGGGAGGGTGCATCTAGAGAACCAAAACAAATCTGAGACTCAAAAACCCCACCTCCTATTAAGACCCTTCTTGGATTATTTGCTTTGTCTGGGAGATCTAGCCATGCCTACTCCTAGCTCAGTTTTGGCATATATAGCCCTGATGGGACATGGGAGGTCCCAGTCCTTCTGCCACTGGGTTTCATGTTCATCTTGCTGTCTCTTCTGCAGCCTGGCTTTTCGGCCACAGGGGTCTGTAAAGCACAAATTATATTTGTGTATTTTACAGCTCCCTTTTCTTCCCAGCTCCTCCTTTCTTGCTTTCTCACTTACACAGCTCTCCTTGAGGCAGCATCCACTGGTAATCTCTGGTTTCCATTTAGCATCTCTGGCGGCATTCTCTACTGGTGTCTCCTCCTTAGTTCTGTTTCTTCCCTCTCCAAGGTCACCTTCTCTACTAGGCTGTTAATAGCCAACTTTCCTCCAAGTCTCGTCTCTTCTCACCTCTCCTCTCCTCTCCTCTCCTCTCCTCTCCTCTCCTCTCCTCTCCTCTCCTCTCCTCTCCTCTCCTCTCCTCTCCTCTCCTCTCCTCTCCTCACTTCTCCTCCCCTTCCCTTTCCTGCCCTGCCCTGCCCTGCCCTTTCCCCTCCCTTCCCTTCTTTTCTTCCTCTTCTTTACTTGAGTGACATTTCCACAGCAGTGACTTCATTTAGTAAAGAAAACTCTAGATAGGTAGATAGTTAGATAGATAGATAGATAGATAGATAGATAGATAGATAGACGAAAATGGTCCCCACGTTGTCTGAGGTTTCTGTTCTGCCTGGTTCCCACAGTTATTAAGTCCCAAAGAAATTGCACAGAGGTCTACATTAATCATAAACTGATTGGCCCATTAGCTCAGGCTTTATCTTAACTCTTATAACTTACATTAGTCCATTATTCTAGTATATATTAGCCACATGGCTCAGTACCTTTTTCAGCAACGTGTAGTCACATCTTGCTTCTTCCGTGTCTGGGTAGGACTGCAGAGGAATGGGCTTCCTCCATCCTAAAATTCTCTTGTTCTCATTGACCCACCTCTACTTCCTGTCTGGTTGTCCTGCCTATATTTCCTGCCTGGCTACTGGCCAATCAGCGTTTATTTAAAACGAAATTGAGAGAATATAGACAATTGTCACTCACCACCCATAGACCCATAGTCAGTGGCAGTATTAGAAGTTATGGCTTTTTTGAAGGAGGTGTGTTTTTCCTTTGTTGAAACTTCTCACTCATTTACCCCTATCCTGTTAACTGTTTATGCTCTGTAAGGGCAAGGCATAGTTAGCCCTCTCTATCTCTGTATCCCCAGTGTTTATCATGATGACTAGCATGTCAGTGCTCACAAAGTATTTGTAGCTATACAAACTAAAAGCAGTATCACATAAGCTTGTGTGCATATTTTTGATTCAGTGTTTCTTGGGTGAAAATGAACAGTAGAAGGAAGAAGAGGAGACAACTGTTAGTGGAGACCATTACAAATGCCAGACACTTACTTGACACACATCAAAATGGAAATGAATTGTTGTGGATAATTTTACTTTCTTTCATAACTTCATAAAGGGCTTTTAGCTGTATATTTCATGCAAGTAACATAGGTGGCTGTATTATTCTCAGTGACTTAATATGAGTTGAAATAATGTCTCTGAGTTACTATTCTATTTTTCCATTAACATATTTTAGCAATTTTCAACTTGCTTACCTAGGCATTTGATTAATAGAAGGGAAAAAGAGTTGGGTTAGGTGTAATTAACACCTGGAATTTGATCGCCTTATTAATCTCTAATATAGCTGAAGAGTATTAAAAGTGCCTACATCCTAGACATGACTGCTTAGATTACAACTTTCTGCAAGAGACACAGCTCTGAGTCTTAACAGTGGAAAAGTGGAAAACACCTTTCTTAATTATAGTGAAGTTGCCTTTCCAAAGTGACAGAGACACAAGTGTGAATTTATATGAGAACAGTAAACCAATTGTTAGTGAGACAAAGATCTACTGCTTTCGTGAATCTCCCAAAATTCTTCTCTTCATGTTGGCTCCATTTCCTGTGAAACAATGACTTCCATTGAACCAAGTTCTTCAGTTTCTCCCTATGCCTTGTGTCTAAACCAGTCAGTCAGCCAGTGGTTAACTGTATGGATTTGAAACTCCTCTGATTCATCTAAGACACTATACTGACTAGGTAATAGCTGAGGCTGGGTGAGGAGATGCTTTCTGACTCCAGGCAAAGACCACACCCAAGCAAGAGGTCACTGTTTGTGCTCAGTTACAGGGTGCATCAGCCATCAGCAGCTCCAGGACTTGCACCAAGGGGCATTAAGGATCTGGTGGTACTGTCCTCTCAACAAACTGTATCTTCTGAGGTTTCAGGGGATGGTAGAAAGATACTGTCTTAGTTAAGGCTTCTATTGCTGTGAAAAGACACCATGACCATTGAAGGCGTAAGTCACGAACAAGGCAACACCAGTTTGGAGTTATGATTAATAGGGTGTTATTTATTTAAAGGGGAAAAAAACTTACAGATCACAATCCCAGACAACAGCCATCTGCACAACCAGGAAGGGAGTCTAGTCTCCAGCAGAGCAGGAAGAGAAGAGAGCGAGCAGAGGAAATAGCCGCTTTTTTAAAGGGAGAGAGACCACGCCCCAATGGGCTGGTATCACAGCAGCTATTGGTTGGAGGGGCGGAAGGACCTCCCGCAACAGACCATGGCAACTCATATTAGAAAAAAATTAATTGTGGTAGCTTGCTTACAGTGCAGAGGTTTAATCCATTACTGTCATGGCAGGAAACAAGGCAGCATACAGGCAGACATAATGCTGGAGGAGGAGCTGCTACATGTTGATAATCAGGCAACAGGAAATGGTCTGAGACATTGGGTATAGCTTGAGCATATATGAGGCCTCAAAGCCCGTCTCCACAGTGACACACTTCTCTAACAAGGCCACAACTACTCCAGCCAAGGCACACCTCCCAATAGCGCCACTCCTTTTGGCGGCCATTTTCGTTCAAACCTCCACAGATACCCCTGAAATCTTTTAAGTTTTTAACTATTAACAATTAGTAATTTTGTTTTTGAATTTTTCTCTGGGAAATACCAAATTTATGGGTTGGCTTTTTATCACTGTCCACTCGATGGTGAATGGTGGTCAATCTTTTTCTCAGCTTTCCAGATCCACACAACATGTGCTTGTCTTTGCTGTTGTTTTAAAAAATCTTTTGTATGGATTGGATTTGAATTTTTATGTTCTGAACATAGCTAGGTAGTCTCCCATCTGTGACCCAAGCTTTCCCTGTGGTACCCCATGCTCTGCTTTTTGCTGTCTTCTGACTATAGTGAGACCAGTATTGGTCTTTAGGTCTTCTAGTCTCTACTTGGTGCTATACTGTCACAGTCATTTCTCTTAATGACTGACTCGAGAACATAAGTATTGCCTGTCACAGAACTAAAACTATCATAAAGTGACAAAGTGCTCCGTATGGAAGAGACCACAGAATATGTATGGCATAGCTTCTCTTAAATGCCTGTAAGGCCAGGGAGTTCACTACCTTCCATAGCCAATGCACTGGATCTGGACAAGTCTGACTTCAGAAACTATTTGCTTATTTTTGCTGACCCCTCTTCCTTGGTCATTCATAGTATTCCTAGTCATTGGCCTTGACTTCTCTTGTTCATGGGCACTTGGTACTGAATGAGGATTTTGGTCCAGTACCTAATACAGACATCTAAATTTTAACAGGGTTTGTGAGAGGAAGCATCATACTTCCTTGAGAATAGACATGTATATATTTATGTATGCAGGTTCTTCCACATCAGGTACTGGCAGGTGTTAGCAATAGGAGCTTGTTCTCTGCCAGTTCCACTGTATTTCTTTTGAAACTGCTTGTCTTTGAGTGTCTCCTTTTGTAAGCATTAATAAACATTTCCTACATTTGAAATCACATGTTTTGCTTGATGATACATCTCTTTAGATACCTGGAGGGTTTTTTCCTCCAAATAATCGTAAGTCTAATTATCTGCATATTAAGTTTAAAATCTCATAATGGGTTATAATGCTTAGATTCATCACTTCTGCCTAAGTTATTTTGAATATAATTTACATCCAGCTGTAAAAACAAAAATACATGCAGGTTTAAAACTTGCTTCCATAGGTGGGCCTTTGAGACTGAAGCATCCCCTTATTATTTTCTCATGCACTGGAAGGATAAGTCTGTGCTCTGCTGTTGCCAGCCGACCTCACTGCCTACCACTGACATCATATTGCTGTCCATCCATTGCTGTTGTTTTTGTGTATTCCAGGTGCTGTGATACTCTTGGGAAGAACCAACATGTTCCGCTTTAACCATCCAAAGGAAGCTGCCAAGCTCAGGGAGAAGAGGAAGGTGAGGGCATTGGGCTGACCCCAAGTGGGGTGGGGGCCTCTCCTAGGTCCTAGCACTTTACTTTCTGGGACTAAAACCTCTGGAAAGGAAGCTCTGTAGCCAGGTCAGTTCCAGGCAGTTGTTTCCTGACAGATGATGGAGTAGGAGAGCCAGCAACTAGAGTCCAGAGCTCACAAGAAAAAGCTGTTCCTTTTAGACCCTTCTTGCTAGTCTATGCATACCCGGAAGAGCCATACTTTGTGTGATATTGAGGTGTGACTTGCATTTACCAGAATCTGTCTAAGAAACATAGCACTGAATAGCTCTTATTGTAAGTCCACCATAGTAAATGGTGTTTTTCATTTGGGCAGGAGATGGAATAGGGTGAGTTTAGGACCATTGAGAGAGATGGGCTTGGTTGGATGGGACCATTCACGGGTCTTATAATACATAGTAGTGGAGGAAGGCTGCAGCCCACAGAGAGGATCACTGAATGGGAAGGAAAGAAGTCTGCACCATGGCCTCTCCCTAGACTGCTGAAAACAGTAAAAACTACAGCTTGCATTTTCATGAGCTGCAAACTGTGTTCAACTTATGCAGAGACTGCCATGTTATCTGTACAGTAGCTGTTACCACCCCAATTTACATAACTGAATGGGAAATTAGATTAAGACAGACTGTCTAAAACAGCCTGTGAGGGCAGGAGGCAGGCAACCAAAACAGTCCTGACCCACAAGCTTGAGACCTTTGTTCTAACCAAAAAGTGATATAACATCTATGCCTCTCCTTTCAATATAAGGGCTGCCCAAGGCTGCCAGGTCCTCTGGTGGAATATGAGAGCAAAGTTACACCCCTCAGCCTAATCCACAGCTGATTGATGATCCAGCCAATAAATATTCTTGCCCATTCCAACCCAAGGCTACTCTAGACAGTACCTTTTAGTCATGGTTCTAGAGAGATACGGTGGAAACATGCCTGCCAATAGCTTTCCTGGGAAGCAGATAGACCAATTCTTATCTTTTCAGCCTCCCCTCACCTATCCCTTTATCTCTGTCATTCAGTAAATGTGAATGTTGAGGGCAGCAGAGATACAATTTCTAGCATCTACCCAAACCTCAATGCAGTGTAGCTAGGAGGCTTTCTGAGCTATGGAATGCCTAGTGAATAAAGGGACACATTTGGGGGGCAGGTTAAATCTGGCACAAAGGAATCTACAAGGAATCTACAAGGATGACTCCAGCTAAGACTCCTAGCAATAGCAATATGGAGCATGAACTGGCCATCTCCTGTGACCAAATTGGTTCTTAGCCCAATTGTCATCAGAGAGTCTTCATCTAGCAACTGATGGAAACAGACGAAGACCTACAACCAAACATTAGGTGGAGTTCAGGAAATCTTGCAGAATTGGGGAAGAAAGAATTGCAGGAGACTGGGGGGTCAAAGATATCACAAAACAAACAAATGAAACAACAAACAAACAAAGAAAAACCCACAGAATCAATTAACTCAGGCTCATAGGGGGCTCACAGGGATTGAACTAATAACCAGGGAGCCTGTTTGGGACTGACCTAGGCACTCTGCATACATGTGATAGTTGTGTAGTTTGGTCTTCTTGTGCAATTCCTAACAGTGGGATCAGGGACTGTTTCTGACTCTTTTACTGACTTTTTGGGACCCAGCCTTAATACATGTGGAGGTGCTTATCTTACTGCATCTTGATATGTCATGTTTTGTCATGGAAGACATGCCCTTTCCTGAACAGAAATGAAGGAGTGAATTGGGGAGCAGGTGGGTGGGAGTAAGGCACTGGGAGGAGAGGAGGGAGGGGAAACAGAGGCCAGGCAGTAAAATAAATGAATAAATACATTTTCTTTTTAAAAGGTGGTTTCTGGTATATAAGGGTCCAACTAGCCCTCATCTGCAAGGTATTAGCATTCACATGATTGCATGCATCTCATTGCCCGTCACTAGTGGAAGGCAATGGATGCTGAGCACTGGCCGTCTCATACCCACTAAGGTAACCACTCTGTCCTGTGTCTGCTCTTAGAGTGGCCTTCTGTCCTCCTTCAGCTTGTCTATGACCGACCTCTCCAAGTCGTGTGAGAACCTGTCTGCCGTCATGTTATATAACCCTGGGTGAGTGAACAGCAACGTCTCTTCCCCATGATTTGTACTCCGATGGTATTTATGGTGCCAACTACATTATAGTCACTTGATGGTAATAAAGCTTGGGCAAGGGCACCTCCTCAGCACATCACCCACAGCCATTTCCCAAGTTTCTTTCCAGCCAGTGCTGTATATACATAATTGTACTTAGTTCTAATCACAGTGCAAATGGGATTATGTTCTCTGAGTTTTTGCTTAACAACATAATAAGCATTAGCAAAGATGGTTACAAGCTTCATTATCATTTTCATAACTGTCTAATATTTTAAGTTGGCACTTTGATTGCCCAGTGCACGATCCCTTTGGTTTAAATGCTTTTATCTTGTTTTTATAAATTATCTGTAATAACAGGGGCAGCCTTGATCCTCGGGCATTCCATAGCCCAGAGAATTATCTTCACTACTTTCAGACATCAGGGGATGGCTGAAGACACAAAAGAGAGTATTTTAAATAGTTTAGCGGCTGGGTGACCTTCAGTTTTTAGCCTAAGTGCTCAAGTCTTTGGTGACTTCATCAGTAAGATGACAGTGATAATGAAAACGTCTGGAAACACAAAGCCAGATGAGAAGGCCTTTGGGGTACTCCCCAGTTTTAAGGTCCCATTATCTTCATGCTTCCTTCCAAGAGAATGTCACATACACTAATGAGCTGAGTGAGTGAAATGAACTCACAGGACGTCTTCTGGAGCTGACCTTTTTCAGCATTTTCTTGGGGCAGGCACGGTGCTGAGTGACCTCTGTCCTCTCAGTTCTGAGTCACAATAGCCTCGGTTTACATGTGCATGTATTTATGAATTAGAGCTTTGGTGGTGTCCAGGTCCTGCTGACTCCCGAACCTTGCTCTCAGTTCTAATCCTATCCCAGTTTCATAGCCAAGGCCTGGGACTTCCCTGATCCAGTTAGTACTCTCCGTGGTGGAAAGTAGATGTCTATGAGAAATTGTTGCCTCATTGTCCAGGGAAGCACCTTCAATCGCATCTCTGCCTTGTTCCTGTTGGAGACCAGATCCCATGTTACTTAAGCCAAAGAGAAAAAAGAGCCAGTTTGTGAGATATGGGGTCTGTAGATTTCTGGCAACCCAAAGTTTGTTTTATCGTCTCCAGTTTCGCCCTCACCATGCCACCTTCAAACTTCATGTTGTGTGATTACTGAGGAAAGTTATGCTCATTACATAATTCTGTCTTGAAATAAGCCAAATATTAGTGAAACCCTAAAACACAAGAACCCTTTCAGAGCCACTGAATAGGCAGTCTTTCTGAAGCCATGAGTGCTTTAGGCTCTCAGAAATTGGCAGTGATTTTCTCAGCTACTTTGTATGGGGACTAGAAAAAAAATCATCCATAGGATTCTATCACTTAATAATATGCTGGTCCTCGGCATTGATATCAGTAGTGTAATCTCATCTGTTAAGTACTGTTTGTCTAGTCAAATGGTTTTGCTGGGATTTGTCTCCCAGTCAAAGACTCAGTTACTTGGAATCCAGCACCACCTTCACCATCCACTGTGCAGTGGAGCCCTTTAGTTTGCTTCCATTTGGAGACTTAGTTTGCTATCTTTGAAAACAAAAACCAAAACAAAACAAAATAAAAAAACCTCTAATCTCTGCTCAGGTCACTAGCGTTCTCTCTCTCTCTCTCTCGTATCTATATGCATAGTATTGAGTTCTCTTTTCTCCATAAAATGTAGAATATGCAGTCCTCTTGAAAGTGATATTGTATTTTAATTGATTTGAAATTCAGTTTTTTCCCAAGTATTGATAAAATGTCATTAATGTGTACCAATTTACATCATCAGAACTCTTGTGACTCACCGTGTCTACAAGTAAAATGTCACTTCATTGATTCCTTATGGTCAGTCAGCAACCCCACCACCTGTCCATCGCAGCATACCTCCGCACAGCCTGGCGCAGCCCCTTCCGCGCAGCCTGGCATCTCTCACTACATCCCTCTGCAAGTTTTGGGCCTTCAGTTTGTGGCTCTGACTTAACTACATATAAAAAAAACTGTGCCATAGAAGCTGTTTCTTTGCTTGGTCCAGGGTTTGGTATTTGCTTTTCCTGCCGTGTGCTTTGCAAGGAAGGCACCATGCAGATGAACCCATTCTGCAGGCTATTCCCAGCTCTCACCAAAATAAAATGTTCCTGTTCAGTGCACATTGCTGCATGTCTGTCATCACTATTTTATCATTCTTTGTGGAGACAATCCACCCTTCAGCAAACCCCTTCTGAGAACTTGCTATCAATCAGACCCTAGGACAGGGGCCTTTGGTATTGGCAGTGTTCGATGTCCATGCCAGCTGGAGGAGATAATGAGCCTGTGGGTGACTGGAAGATCAGAGGAGTAAGGGAGAAATGGCATGTGATGCTTCTAGGGCAGTGTTCGGCAGGAGTGTTCAGGGAGGACTTCGGAGTAGGAGATCTCAGACTCGAGTGGAGTGAAAATGACACTGATAAGACACGGGGAAAGGAGCACATTCCGGGGAAAGAGAGGGGAACCAAAATGCTGCAGAAGCAGCATTTTGAATAAGTGGAATATAGGAAGAAGGGTGGCACAAGGTGTTGAAGATAAGCTTCAATAAAACTCGTACATTCCTGGGAGGTGAGGGGCTGTCAGTGGTAGCCTGTGTGGGGCACTGCAGCGAGAGTGTCCTCTGAGAATGTTGGCAAACATGAGACGCCATTGGCTGGGATAGTAATTCCAAAAGCACTTACTGTGGAAATTGTAGTGTAGAATCAGGATATTGTGAAGGAAGCTGTGTGTTTAGACTATATGGAAGATAATGGTGGCATGGGTCTGGGCTTTAGCCATAGCTATAGAAAAATGAGATCAAGGAAGTAGGGGGTAAAGTCCAGATTTCCAGGTTTCAGGTGTGAACATGTGGGGCAGATGTTGTACCCTTTCTTGCAATGGGCCAGACAAGGAAGATGATTGATTACAAATGTACAGGAGATAAGAATTATGTTTCCATAAGTGTCTTTCTTGTTAAGTTGGAAACTTTGTGATCTCAAAGGTCTTTACTTAGTTTATTTCACAGTGTCATACATATCTCCTGGTTATCAATAACTTAGCAAATAGTTTCAGACTGAATACGTCTCATTTAGTAAGACATCTGAGTCCTCTAGGGTATTTTTTATTTTGTTTTTTTTTATGGATTTTTCTAGGCATGAGCATTATAATTATTGAGATAAGACATAGTGTGCAAAGTGTTACAATCCCAGAGATGATGCAGTTGCTTAAATAACCTCAAGGTCATGATCCTTGACAAAAGGTGGTAGAAGGAGGAGAATGCCTTATGATAAAGTAGGAAAGTGAGCAAAGGCAGTCGAGAAACCCAACTGAGAAGCAAGATGTTGTAGCTGAATTACAGCTTGTGGTTTCTAGATGCTTCCTCTGATATGAGCATGATGCAGCCCTTTCACCTGGCTTCTGAAAACAGACACATTCATGTAACATTTGTTGGTACAAATTCAAAGAAAATTATTTAATACTTCATCATACCTTCCTTCTCCCTGGTTCCCAGTCTGCTGCACTTGCTACCTGCTGCAAAGAGTGATTACCCATGAATTAAAATATAATTGAAAAAAAATTGCCTACTCTGACTTATGGGAAGGCAGATACCTCATTATGAAATTGTTGGCTCTAGCAAGTGGGCAAAATGGAAGCATAATTAAAGCTATAGCCATGCTGTTTTTACCATCTTTTTTTTTAAATGTTGCAGGTATAAATACTCTCAGCATAAATTAAGGAAGAAGAACATTGAAAGAAATATGTTTAGTACATGGGCCCTCATTAAAGAGTTGTTTAATTCCACATAATCCACAGCTTGGACTCTGAGCATGCTCATTTCTCAGATGGAACCTCAGGCTGTGATGCTCCCTCTGAGCAGTGGGTACTGAGAGGATCTGCTGTGTGCTGACAACCTAAGTACTCGGCTTCCAGCTCTTTGCAGAGAGTCTGGGAACACGGGCTTGTCATGTGAATGCATGTAGAATGAGTGTAAGACAGCATGCAGTTCCGAGTAGAAGGCAGCTGTGTCTGCAGTCTTCTCTGGGATCTGGTGGAAAGGACTGACGTGGCAGGAAGTATCAAGAAAGGATCACTTTCTAGTGCCACACCCCCATTGGGTAGTCATGCCCTAATGTGTTGGGTGACAAAAAAACAGAGGCCCTGTAACTTCCAACAGCAATCTTTGTTAGGATTGACGTCACCTATAGCCAGTTTCTTGGAATCTGTATGAGTTTGATTCATGAGAACCATTTGTCTTTTGGAAATGGAATGTTATTTCCTTGCATTGGTGCCGGTTTCTTGTGTAGTCTAGCTCATTCTCAATGGCACAGAAGCTTACACCCTGGACTAAGTGACCAGAGTTCTTGTCATAGAGTGGACAGCAGGATTGCAAGGAGTCTTAAGTATACTTTCTCCTCTGTAACTAAGGTCATAACGTTCCCAAGCCTGTAACAAGGCCCTGCTTGGAGAAGAGAGAGGCAGCGAATGCTAACTGGAGACTTAGTCCTCATCACCCACCTTCCAAAGACTCAGATCATTGCCCTGACTTTGTGCCAGAGGTTTTACTCTGTGATTTCCAGGTGAAGTGTGCCCTGGCTGGGCCCTGAAGTGTTTGCAGGAGAGAGATGTCACTAGCTCAGGAGCTCCACTGCATGAAGTATAGGGCTTCCAAAGGAGAGCAGGGCAGAGGGAGTCACACTGAGAGAAGGCCATAAGAGGAGTCAGCAGGGTGAGGCCCAGCAGGAGGGAAAGGTCCCTGGAAGTGCACAAGCACTTAGAGAGTGGCTTTTGGGGGGTTGTATTTCTGTGTTTGTCAGGATGAATTTGGGGTATAAATTGCAGCTCTGGTTCCTATATGAATGTAGTGTTGTATATGAAAATTACATCTGTAAATTCTGATTAGCCTTTTAAGAAAGCTTCCTCAGAGCCATGTAGATAATGCATGTCCTCAGTCTCAGCATTGAGA